ACTCACCTCAGCCTCCCAAAGGCGCGGGATTACAGGCTGAGTCACCGAGCCCGGCTAGTTGTTATTATTCTTACCAGTCTGCTCAAAGTGACGGGGAACACTATGAAGACTGGAGCTAGTACAAATGCGTAAGAGACGCCTCTTTCAGCAGATCAACTTCATCTTCTTGACCTTTTGTGAGAAGCCATTAATTTAATTTACCTGTGTTTTATGTGTTATATATAAAAATATCATATATAGAAAATAAATTTTCTTCACCTATTCACTCTTCTCTACTGACTGATCGATTGAGTCAGAATCTCGCTCTCTCGCCCAGGCTGGAGTGCAGCAGCATGATCACACCTTGCCAGTCTTGACCTACTTCGCCCAGGCGATCCTTCCACCTTAGCCGCCTAAATAGCTGGCTACAGGCACGTGCCACCATGCCTGGCTCAGTTTAAAAAATTTTTGGAGAGATGAGTTCTTGCTATGTTGCCCAGGCTGATCTTGAACTCCTAGGCTCAAGTGATTCTCCTGCTTCAGTCTCCCAAAGCACTAGCATGAGGCAGCGTGCCAGCCTACTTTTCTCTTTTTAATCCTGTATACACTGAATGGGACTTAGGAAATTGTTTGCAGTATTGTTCTATAATGTGAATATTAAGACTCAAGATTTTCTTATCATTTTCACTTAATGATGGACCAAATATAATACTCCTGGGGAAGTGACGGATGGTCATGTCAATAAGATATTTATGTCACCCTTCTGTAGACTCACTAAAACTCTGCTCATTAGTTCCTTAATTACTAAGGTGCTCCTCATATTCCAGTTACACTGGTCTCCTCATTCCTGACAATCTTCCCATAAGGTCACTGCACTTCCTGTTGCTTCTGCCTGAAAAGCCCTTCCTGGTTTGCTTGCTCACTTACCTAAGGTCTTGGCTGTAACTTCACTTTTCAGAGAGATCTTTTCAGAAAGCCTCATCTGATGTAACCCTATCATACACCATCCTTTAATTTGCTTTGTTTTTCTGCACAAGTCATCACCTACCCTATATTGTGTATCTGTAAACTTCATGTAGCTGAGGACTTCACAGCTGTATCCCTAGTTCCAAGAATGGCTGCTAACATAAAGAAACACTCAAACTCGGGCTCGGTGGCTCAGCCTGTAATCCCACACCTTGGGAGGCTGAGGTGAGTAAATTGCCTGAGCCCATGGGTTCAAGACCCGTCTGGGCAATTTGGTGAGACCGCATCTCTACAATAAATCAAAAAATTAGCCAGGCGTGGTAGCGTGCGCCTGTAGTTCCAGCTACTTGGAAGGCTAAGGTGAAGGATCATCGGAGCCCAGCAGGTTGAGGCTGCGGTGGCTGGGAGCAGCCACTGTACTCCAGTCTGGGTGACAGAGTGAGACTCCAACTCAAAAAAAAAAAAAAAAGAAAGAAAGCACTAAAAAAACATTTGTGGACCAGGCTTGGTGGCTCAGCCTGTAATCCCAGCACTTTGGGAGGCTGAGGCGAGTGGACTGCTTGAGCCCGCGGGTTGGAGACCCACCTGGGCAACTTAGCGAGACCTTGTCTCTACTACAGTAAATCAAAAATTAGCTGGGCGTGGTAGTGCCTGCCTGAAGTTTCGACTACTTGGAAGGCTGAGGCGGAAGGATCGCTGAAGCCCAGCAGGGTGAGGCTGTGGTGACCGGGAGCGTGCCACTGCACTCCAGTCTGGGTGACAGAGTGAGATTCCCAAAAAAAGAAAAAATTAGCTGGGTGTGGTGGCGAGTGCCTATAGTCCTAGCTGCTCTGAAGCTGAGGCTGGAAGATAGCCTGAGCCCAGGAGTCCAAGGCTGCGGTGGATTATCATTGTGCCACTGAACCCTAGTCTGGGCCACTGAGACCCTGTCTCTTAAAAAAAAATTTTGTCAATTTGCAAACAAGTAAACTAATTATGGTCTCCTCCTCTAACAAGTTTTGTTAGCACTTACGATCCTTCTGCCTCAGCCTTCCACGCAGTACCATGCCCGGATAATTTTTTGATTTATTGTAGAGATGAAGTCTCGCCAAGCTGCCCGGGCGGGTCTTGAACCCTCAGGCTCAGGCAATCCACTCACCTCATCCTCCCAAAGTGCGGGATTACAGGCTGAGCCACCAAGCCTGGCCTCAAATTTAATTTTCAAAGATGGGATATTTCTAAATTTGTAAAATTAAAAATAAACGATCAGCCGGGCTAGGTGACTCAGCCTGTAATCCCGCGCCCTTGGGAGGCTGAGGTGAGTGGATTGCCTGAGCACGCGGGTTCAAGACCCGCCTGGGCAGCAAGACCTCATCTCTACAATAAATCAAAAATCAG